CACAGAGACACATACACATCCAAATAAGGCAGGTAGTAAAAGCAACCTTGCATGATAGTTAGTGCAGGAAAAATATTTTTGAGAAATAAAAAGAAAGAAGACACTCTTTTTGTAGATATAGCATTAAAACCAAATACCTTAAACCAGAGACGGTGTGTCTTAGCCTTAAAAAACCCAATTCACTTGCTGCCACAGAAGAGGAGGGTCTCTCGTCTTGGACCAATCTTCCACTTTGCAAGAATCTACTTCTCAATATTGACTTCAAAACAAGTACAACATAAAGCAGTCAAAAACATTTCAATACTTCATGCGCATAAATCCCAAACTTATTAACATCATGGCTAAATGCCAAGCATGGAAACAAAGCATAAAACAGATATATATATATATATATATGTGTGTGTGTGTGAATATTTTAATATAGAAAAGAAAAGACATAATTTGAATCATCTCTACAAGTAACTTGCATGATACAGAACTTTCTCATAACATGCATTAAATAATAATTGTGATCTTTACACGATGGTTCGTTTTGTAATTTAAACATGTGAAAATTAGCTCAAATGTTTATAAAAAATGCATTTTCCATAGGCCATAACAAAAAAATGTGCAATCATCTATATAATTTTTAATTGCATTCTACCAAACTCCACAAAATAACTGCAGGACAATCCAATATGAATGCTAATCATCATTAGAAAAACCTTTCACTGCGATCAGTCCTATATGTTACATCCCAAACCCAACTCATAACTAACTTGTACAAGCATCAAATTACGACTAAAGGTTTTACACAAATAGAGAGTAAATTCATCATGATTGCAAATCAACAATCTGGTGTGAAATAGGACAAGTTTGAGATTTAAATTTAAAACTGTGGTTGTTGTAGAGTTTCTTCCATAGAGGCATGGTAAAAAGGTAGAAGTGTTTGAATCCAAAAAAAAAAAAAATAAACGTAGAAGTGTAAAGAGCTGACATAAAATCACAAGTCAAAGACAAGAACTTTTGAAACAGCTTACCTGAATGCGATTACGGTGAGCAAAATCAGATACAGGCCGACGCTCCAACAACTCCTGGAGTTCTCTTTGCCTTTCCCCCTCAGACCTTGCCAACAAATCAAGCAAAGCCTGTCTGCCACAAAATCTGTGGATTTTCCTTCGAGCACCAATCTCACAATGATTAACAACAAATCCATCCCGAACTCGTTCAATTTCAGCATCAATTTCAACGGGTTGTTCTTCTCTACTGCCACCACCACAAGTGCCTCTCTGCTGGCTAGTCATTCGTACCCACTCCCTTATAATCCTCACCCTCGCACACTCATTTTCACCAAGCCATGGTGCCCTTGAATAACTTTTCACAGGGGAAACATTGGATGCAACACCGCTTACTCCACTATTCATCCATTCCCGGAATATTTGTCTCACCCTTTCCCTTTCAACTTCCCCAAAATCAGTGGACTGCTCTGAGCTAGAACTGTTCTCATCCTCATGTTTTGAATTTTCATTGTTATCCTCCAACTCCAAGCTATCTCCATTATCACTATCGAGTTTCTCAGACAAATACGCATTCACAAGATCAGAATTCGAGCCATCAATCCTATTTTGCCGTAGTCTACCTCCAACTCTCAAATGGGAATGACTCACTATATGCTCACCCTCGAGTTCCCGCCACATTTACAGAAGAGAAGAGCCTCAGGTGCTCGGCCTATCATGATGATTACCCCACCGCCATGAGAGTGGAGACTGAAGACTCCCTATCAAAAGATGACTGAAGCATGGAAACATTTTGTAAACCAGCAACAGCCATTAATTGATCCCACTAACAATTCTATTGCTCAACCATGGTAATCATCTTCTGGGTTGGTTTAACCATCCCCTTCGCTTAAAAGACAAAAAAAAACACAACCTAGATTCTTTGCTTTCACTGCACGGTTTGAAAAAAATGTGTCATGTTTCTCTCTCTTCAAGTTAAAACAACTATTTATTGCTAACTATCCCCTGTCATCTCAAAAAGTAACTACACAAATCCCCCATCACCCATACTCAAGCACACACAGACAGTGAGTTAAAAAAAAAAAAAAAAATTCCACAACTTTGCACAAATATTGGTAACACATAAGAGGGGAATTAAAAAAATAAAAAAAAAACCCAACAAAAAATAAAAAATAAAAAAAACCGTAGTTTAGTAAAAGTTTTGGAACCCTCAAGTAGTGCTAGGCAAAATGCCTTCTAAAAGTACACATAAAAGTACAATATATGCACTCTTATCATATTCTTTGTTTTAGTTAATCAATTAAATTACAGTAATTAATTTTAAAAATACTATAAACATAAATAAAAAAAATATAATTTGTTTTTATGATGTTACATTTATAAATATTTATTTTTTAAAAATATATAATTAAATTAATTTAAAAGAATATTTTTACGATCATATTTTTAAAAAGGGCAAATTACATATACCCCTCGAGGTTTAGCAAAATTATAGACATACTCCTGAGGTTTGAGAAATTACAGATACCCCCTGAAAGTACTATTTGTATAACAAATTAGGAGGCAAATTGTTATGAAAATATAAATATCAGGAGTAGTTTGTTATGAAAATATAAACCTCAGAGGGTGTTATAATTTCCGAAACCTCAGGGGTATCTGTAATTTAGCTAAATCTCGAGGGAGGTATATGTAATTTGTCCTTTTAAAAATGACAATGGGCTGCAACAAAGATTGAAGGAGAATATGGAGATGGAGATCTCAGAGAGAAATTTCTTTGACCTAGCAATGGAGGCTAGCTAAATGTGGAGAGTGAAAGTGTGAATATGAAAATATGCAACATGCATCTTGTGATGCAGAACCTGTTGGAGGAAGAAAAAACTAATTTCACCAGTAAAAATGCCTCATGTGGCCCTTTTGCCTACTCCCAAGATCCTTAAGATCATATTAAAATCCGTATTTGATTATACAACTTACTCGAGAAATGTTTCACAATCGATAATATTTATAATTAAAAAAAAAAAAAAAGGATCAAATAGCTTGAATCCAAATGAGTGAATCATTTGAAGAGAGCCCCCTCTCCCTCTATCTCTCTCTCTCTCTCCATACAAATTTTTATACGTCTTTTTGTACGTGTATATATAGGGAAAGTGAGTGTTTGGAAAGTTCTTATTTTAGTATGTTATTTTAGTTTTTAACTATTTTAGTAAATTAAAATTTAACTATTTTAGTAGATTAAAATTTTTGTATTTGGAAAAATAATTAAATTTTTTTTGTAATTAGATGTGATATTTGTTAGAAAAAAAGTAAAATGACTATAAATTTGATGTGATATTTTGTCTGATTGACTATTTTTACCTATTTTATCATTTTATAAATTTTACTCTAAAAAACTAAAAAAAAAGCCAAACAACCCATATATATATATATATATGTATGCGTATGCAATTTTAATATACCGATATAGTGTGTTGCTAAGCGTCTTCGTTATATATGGTAATGGGTTTGAGTCTTACTTTCTCTTTGTATAATTTTTATAAAAGAAAAATGTTTAACAACACTAAAAAAGGATCATCAGAGGAAGCATGAATGATGTGTTAGTAGATTCTGCTCATTTTTTATGTCTTGTTTTTATTTATTTATTTATCATTCTCAATATATTAGTACTATTAATGATTTATTTTTTAATGGTCTAAATAGTTGTTGTTTTATAAAAACTCGAATGTAAGGGTACTTAGAAAAAATTTAAAATATGAGACAAAAAGTGTCAGAGACCTTCCTGAATAGATAACAAAGAGAAAACAAGACAAGAAAGGCATAAAGCTTGTTCAAATCCGTGAATATGAGCCCAAAATTGGATTAAAATGGCTCATTCACGCATTGTTCAAACCAGAAAAAATTAAGAGAGAGAGAGAGAGACGAAAACAAAAGGAAAAGCCGAGAGAATATGATTAATTTGAATATGAAGAAAATAGAACTTACCTTGGAATCTCCGTTCTTCTGTTCCTTTTTCCAAGTCGAAGAATCGAAATGTAGCTGTTCAATTCTTCAATTCCAGAAAGTTATAACTGAAATGAAACCGAGAGAGAGAGAGAGAGAGGGTTGTGGAGAAAAAAAGTTGAGAGCTCTAACGAAAGAGAGAGGGAAACGGCGATTTACGAAATAAATAAATGTGACACGTCACACTGTCCTTTTATCCACTTTAACTCTAAGAAAAATGATTTGTAATTTGTGTTTTTGAATGTACGAAAATAATCACTGTGTTTGTTTTAAATTTTTTAGATTAAATTTTTTGAAAATTAACTTTTTTAGTTTTTTAGTTTTTTTGTTTTTAGTGAATATTTTTTAAATTTTAAATATTTTTTTTTACTTTTTTAGATGTACCTTACTTAGATGTATCTAAAAAGTAAAAAATTTGTGAAAAAATATTTTAAAAAATTAATAAATACATAAAAGTATAAAAAATGTACTGAATTCTTGTATTTTTTTTATTTTTGGTATTTAGTGAATTTTTAAAAGATTTTTTTTACAATTTTTTTACTTTTTAGATGTATTTATGTTAGGTGTGTCTAAAAAGTAAAAAAATTGCTTAAAATATTAAAAAAATTCAGTAAAAATAAAAAAACACGAAAAATAAGAAAGTAGAATTTTTAAAAAGTGTTTTGTAAAACTGAAAACCAAGCAAGGTGAATGTCATTTTACTTTTAAAATGATATCATTTTGAAATATTTCAGGTTGAATAAAGCTTGAGACCCCCAGTGGGGTACTAGGGTCCTCTCTGATTGGCCAGAAAAACAAATTTTTTTTTTTCTTTTAGTTTTTGGCCATTGACAACCCCCCACGTGGAGGTGGGGGTGCTGGGGGTCGCCCCCACTGGGGTCCCAGCATTGTCGATTCCAGGTTATCAAACATTATTGTCACTATAATTCACTTTAAGATAACAAATTATTTTAATAATTTTTTAAATTTTTATAAAAAATAGAAAAAATAATATAATAATTTATATTAATGATTTTTTGATTTTTTGACTAAAATATTTAATCCCATACGAGACCTAAATTGTGTCCTGTTTAGCAATTTCTTAATTTTTATTGTGAAATAATTTTTTCAATTCATTTCTTATTTTTCTTTATTCATTTGAAATGCTTTTTTTAGCTAAATACTAGATAATTATAAGAAAATAAAAATAATTAATTAATATGTACGATTGAACATACTACCAATAGGTCCTAATAGTTGAACTTAATTCACATCAAGTCTTATTGAAAATAAGTCTTGATGAAATTGTCGCTAAAAATAATTTTTTTGTGATAATTTTTTATATATGTCACTAAAAATTGACAATTAGTAATTTTTTTTGTCATGATTTTTATAAATTGTCACTAAAACTTACAATTAGTAACGTTTTTTTATGATAAATTTTTCTCGTAAAACCTATTACATAATAAGTCCACTTATTATGACCTACACGTATGTATCCTTATTTTATTTTGTTTTGTGTCCTGTTTAGCAATTTTTTAATTTTTATTGTGAAATAATTTTTTTAATTCATTTCTTTTTTTTTTAAATTCATTTGAAATGCTTTTTTAGTTAAATACTTGATAATTATAAAAAAATAAAAATAATTAATTAATATGTACGATAGAACATACTACTAATAAATCCTAATAGTTGAACTTAATTCACATCAAGTCTTATTGAAAATAAATCTTGATGAAATTGTCGCTAAAAATAATTTTTTTATAATAATTTTTTATATATGTCACTAAAAATTGACAATTAATAATTTTTTTTGTCATGATTTTTATAAATTATCACTAAAACTTACAATTAGTAACGTTTTTTTATAATAAATTTTTCTCATAGGACCTATTACATAATAAGTCCATTTATTAGGACCTACACGTATGTACCTCTATTTTATTTTGTTTTGTGTCCTGTTTAGCAATTTTTTAATTTTTATTGTGAAATAATTTTTTTAAGGGATTTTTATTGATAAGTCCAATTTAGAAATGTTTTAACCCAAGAGGAGGGAGGGGGGGGGTTGGGGACCGGGCCCGCCCACGGCCGTGGGCGGCGTTTTGGGCAGCCATGAGGTGCGGGCTAATTTTACACTCTATCAATGTGAATGTTAACATGTCAATGTGAAATTCACATTGTCAACGGGCCGGGCCGGCCCCGCCCCGGCCGCGCGGCCGGCTTTTGGCCGCCCCATGGGCCGCGCCCCAATTTTATACTTCTTATCAATGTGAATGTTTAAACATTCAATTGTGAATATTCACCATTGTCAATTGGGCCGGACCGGCGCCCGCTCCTCGGGCCGCCCATGGGTCGCGGCCGAGTTTCGCGCCGTCACGGGACGGAGGCAATTTTATACTCCTTATATAATGTGAATGTTAACATGTCAATTGTGAATATTCACATTGTCAACGGGCCGGCGGGCCGGGTCGGGGCCACAGCCCTGGGTTGCTGTCCAGTTTTTAATACTCTTATCAATGCTGAATGTTACATGTCATGTGAACATTCACATTGTCCAACAGGCCCGAGCCGGGCCCGCCCACGGCGTGGGCGGGTTTTGGGCAGCCACGGGCGCGCGGCCAATTTTATACTCCTATCAATGTGATGTTAACATGTCAATGTGAATATTCACCATTGTCAACGGGCCGGCCGGCCCACCCCGGGCCGCGAGCGTGCTTGCCGCCTATGGGCGCGGCCCAATTTTATGCTCTTATCCAATATAATGTTAAACATGTTAATGTGATATTCACATTGTCGACGGGCCGACCAGACCGCCCCGCGGCCTGCCATTGGGTCGCGGGCGGGTTTCGCGCCGCCACGGACGGAGGTCAATTTTACACTTCTTTTAATGTGAATGTTAATATGTCAATGTGAATATTCACATTGTCATACGGCCGGGCCGCCCCGGCCGCGGCAGGGTGCTGGACGCGCCCGCGGGCGGGGGCCTCGTAGCATTACTACAGCTTCGGACTCGCGATTTTGTTGTCGCGGCTTCTTAATCTGAACCAAAGAGTCCAAATCTGGAAATCGTTTGAGAAACAGATTTTTGAAAAAGTAGTTGCCAAACTTGGACTGCTTTGCCATATACAGAGTCGGCCACCTAAATATTTTTAAAATGGGCGGAAATTTTAGGAAACCCTGACTCGGTGCCTGAGGCCACATGTCCGTCATCACCGGAGTTGTCTCGGCTCGGAGCTTAGGTACAGATCAGCGGGAAGAGTCAGCTATGAGCACCCCTTCTCGCCCGGTCGAAAGACCGGCCTCTTACTAACCGGTGATATCCGTTTTTGAAAACGTTATGTGTTCTTATACCAATTAGTCTAGCCAATTACTATGTTATGTCACAACCAAACAAGTATAGAACTAGATTGGCCTAATTGAAATAAGCATTGCATATCCGTTTTTTTGAAAAGCGTTTTGTGAAATTTGCTACTCGCAAGTTAGACTAAAACACGGATTTTCATGAGTTCTTCCAACTCAAACAATCAACCTTCACCCACAGGCTTAAAAAATTTAAACACATAAGCACTTAGCCGCATGCAGGTCATACTGTCATGGCAACACTCCACACACATGCGGGATGCTAAAGCATAAATACTTACATCGTTACTCCGCTGCCAAAACAGTAAACTAGTCAGCAAAATGATGTCCTAATTTCATGTTAAAAATGCTAATGCATCACATGCAAAAATGCAATCTAGCAGGCTCGCGCTAACCCTAAACATGGCATGTGAAATGCGATCAACTACCACAATATTCAATTTTGTGATATTGAAGTACAAGATGCAGTTTAGCGTGATGTGTACCGAGCCTAATGTATGTTAATACAAAATGTATGGATGCAGCATGGCATAGCATGAGTATGCTAATTTAAAAGATGCCCTAATCTACCATCATAAGCAGGTAAATAAAGAGGAAGCAAAAGGAGTGGGGATTGGAGAATACACAACCACCCACACACACTTATTACAGGTTGCCCTCGCTCGGAGGGACCAAATAAAAATTATTACAAATTAATTACTACGCAAGCTAATTAAATATTACAAATTGCCTAATCAACTAAGCAAATTATTAAACTAGAAACAGTAAATCGCCTCGGGAAAATGTGCCGCCCATGCGTGAGCTGCCTCTGTTTTCCTTTTCCTTCACTCTCTGGAGGTTGCCAAAACCTCAGATACTTCCTTGGCGATGGGGATCACCACCGGCTGAATGGAATTGCCACCGCAGATGTGATATGGCCCACGGCACAAAATGAAGCTGTCGCAGATTAAATTTGCAGTCAGCACTTTACACTGTCTCGGTCGCATAATAAAGCCTGCAGAAACCTGCAATGTTACAGCAAACAGAGAGGCAAGGCAAAGCATGCAGCACAATCAAAGTATGTATGCACCACTCATTGCCCCTTATCAGTTTGTGACTCAAAAGGACATGTGCCTCGATTCTCGGACCCTAATCACGCATTTCCATGCATGATGGCCCAAGGAATAAGTATGCAAATTTCATGTCAAATGAAATACAAACCAATAACCAAAACAAGGCCCAATTCCTATCACAAGTCAACGAACAAGGCATGCATGCAAGATTGCAATGCCAACCTAGGCAGAAGCTAAGGATGGCAACATGGCATGGCAACAAACTTATGCAAGCATACAAGCAAAACATTAGGGCATGCAAACCAATAAAAAGGTGGACTTAGGCATTGTTTATGCAGCTCCAATAAGCCTAAAACAAGGAGCCAAAGTGTTATAATGAGGGACCAAATTACTACATACACACATACATGTGTTTGAAAGGCCGACACTTTAGGCACAAATTGAAACAACTTTCAAAACACACTTGAAAGGGGAATCATGGGACTAATTAGCATGCAACATAAGCATTGAAAATCATGTCATAAAAATGATGCCAAAGTCATGTTAAACAAGACAAGCAAATGCATGCAAAGGCATGGTCCAAGTACTTGAGGAAGTCATGAAGCTTGAAGCACATTTATCACAAACAAACATGATGCATTAAGCAACTAAAAATAGGTTTAGCATGTTAAAACAAGCTAAAAGGACTACTTAGATGGCATCTAAGTGGCTCAATTTAGAGGCATGCACGATGGTCAAAACA